ACCAATATTCAGGGGTAGAAATATGTTGCACACAGAAGAAGTAACCATATTACTCTTATTAAAATAAAGTCTAAGCTAAGTGGAGAAGAATAGAATCATTTCACTACTTCTAGTATGTAGCCATTTTAATATACACTTGTTAGTATACAACAATGCAGCCAATACCCCTAACTATGCCCTCCTGGTGTTTCGAGAGACCACTCCTGATTGCCGAGTTTCTTGTGTCAACCTGTCATGGCCATCCAACCGGTAATGAATACGGAGGAGTACCCACACCGGGAAATTGTCTTAATACTATATACCCACGTGGAGGAATACCCGTATTGAGCTATCACCATCAACGGCCCACCTCTACTGTCCCGCAACATATAATACCAATTAATGATATCTAATAATCTAAGTACCATGCTTACATTACTAAATACTACTCCATATTGCTGCAGCAGACATAGAGCAATCATCGAAATGAACTTTAAACCCACACCATTGCATATCTCTGGTAAGCTAGCTACATCATTATATCGAGACAAGTATAACATAAAGTCGGTACTCAGATAATATAAATGAAGTAAAGGACCGGAGCTATATAAAGAGAAATATTTCGTTAACAAGACAAGTCTTACAAGAGAAGGAAGAACTACTAGAACCATACCTAAAATCTCCTGAAGATTTGAGGAACTAAGAAAGTATTCTATTTCTACTCCACTAGCACTATAACAAAGTAAATAAACTAGAGAGAGCTCTTGATTCTTCTTCTTGGGTCTGTGAGGGAATGAGTGATGCCTCCTCCTTAAATAGGTTGCTAACGACGGTTGTGGTGGTTGTAATTATCGGAAATGCCCCGCAACCGTCACTGCGGAGGTATCCTGGATGTCCACGTGGAAGGCCGGTATGATTGGCCTCAGCTAGGGTTCGGCCGAACCTGGGTTAGCCCATCCGGCCTCCAATTTTGGCCTGGATCCTCCTTGTTGGGCTTTATTCTCCATGGTATGGTAGTTGGGCTTATTTGCTGGTGTTAAATTGGTTTTGTAAGCCCATCTATCCATAAGTCTGCTACTCGGCGGTCGTCGATTGAATGCTTGGTTATTTTCAGCCGATTCTCCTTTGTTTATGTATAGATCTCTATATTCAAATAAAATTCAATGTACAAGTGGAGATAGATTATTTCTAATAAAATATATATTGCAAGCATAGCTGGTTCTCCTTTATTCTGGATATATTGATGTCGAAATTGATCTATAACGACCGTCAATAGCATCGTTGCCCTGTCTCTCTCATCGCCTCTCACTATCTCGGTGTGGTGAATGGCGCAGTCGAGGCAACTAGGGGGCCTTAGAAGCGCCCCCCCCCCCCCTCCGCTGCCCAAACAGGGCCTAAATAAAAACAGACCTATGATATAACAAGGGTCATCGGTCACAGGCTCATAGCTCACAGGTCATAACTCGCATCACTATATATTATACCTGCTCTTATTAAGTTTTGATACGATGAATACTCCCTTTTTATTTTTACAGATTGCCTAAATAAGCACAGACCTATGAAAATGCAACAAGGGTCATCGGTCACATGGCACAACCTGCTAAAAATCAATTTTCACATTTGTAACACCCCAAGCTCCAAATTCATATTAATCCACTCTACACATTGAGTGAGCCCACATTCACATAATGTCCTACTTACGTTTTTGTCATTGCTGTATGTAAAAGGATTAACATAAAGGTACTACGGTTGGATGGACTGCTCTCCAAGCAGTCCTCGTGCTCGATCTCTTTCCTCTTCCCATAGTCCTGGGCTTCTCCGGCTGTCCCTACATCTCCCCACAGTCCACACCCTTTGCACCCTCTCCCCTCCCTCTCATTACAGTTCCTTAGTCCTCGCCCCGACTCCTCCCAATAGCTCCTTCTCTCAACGGCGACGATCGGGCATGAAGGGAAAAGGGCCAAGGTGATGATGGCGAACCCAGATCACTACTTAGCGGCCAGGCGTGTACCTTCCCGCACGGTCACTATTCCGTATGGTACGGTTCATATGGAATACATGTCGGTACATATACGTACGTGTACAAACTTTTTGTGTATGCATATAAATTTTGTACGTATGCGTACAAACTTATACGTACAAAGTTTGTATGCATATATGTAAAAAACAATTATATGTCAAAAGTATATAAATTTATACATATATAAAAATTGTATAGGTACATATAAGAACTTTATATTTGCATATATAAACTGTAATACACAAATATGTAACTAATATTTGTGTAATACGGTGAATCTACAACTTTGTGCCTCAGGATGTATCCCTGTCTTCTGTTCAATGAGATAACTAAGCCTGTGTTCAAGAGGATGCATTAACGCACGATTAATTAAGTCGTATTAGTTAAACTTTTTCTAAAAAATGAATTAATATGATTCTTTGAAACAACTTTCGTACATATTTTTTTTTTGCAAAAAAACATATAATTTAGCAGTTTGAAAAGCGTGCCGTATGGAAAACGAGAGATATGAGTTGGGAAAATGAAGAAAACTACTCAGCCTAATTGTGTTTGTGACTTTGACAATCTCGTTTCTATTAGCTTATCATTTTTTTTTTTTGCTGCCAAAGAAGCTTTGTTCGTGGTCTAGACGCTTTGCAAAATTGTGAAGCAAAGCGTTGGTAAGCATATCTATTTACTGTATTTTAATTGTTATATACCCTCCATCATTTTTGTTCCGATGAATGAATTTCAACATTGGTTCTGATCTGCAAAATTGTTATTTTAGGAGAAGCTAGGAGGGGAGCAAATTAAAGGAGGTGTTGGCACCGATCACCGATGGAAGGGCAACCACAACCATTATGTTGATTGTTGAAGCTGGCAAGTATCTCCATAGGAGAGAGAAATATATAGATATGCCGATTTGCAAAAAAAGAATAACAGTATTGCTCCTCTTAACGGTGATTAGGTCATGTGAATGGGTAACGGCGACTGAGTCATGTAAATGGGATAAAAAAGAAGAAAAAATATTTTTGGTGGCAGGTTATTGGAATAACTATTTTTTATGATTTATAAGAGAAACCATAAACTTTTGATAACAGACATTGGATGGTGATGGATAGTCTGGATTTTGTCTACTCATTGACGCTGATTATGAAGTTGTACGTTAGAAATTACATGGTTTTGAATATGTAAAGGTTGTGATGTTATTTTACACGTGCCTATGTAATAAGTATATAATAACCCACTCTATCATTCTCTTTTACTATTAAATATTTTGTTTTGTGCTGTCAAAACATATACATATTTAATTTACATTACTAAATGCCACCGTAGCGTTAGCACCGACATGCTACTAGTATATACTTTGTACATATATCCGTATGCATATAAAATATATACATACTTATATACTTAAGACTGGGGGTGGATTGATATCACGTGCTTTGGCTGCGCGTGAAGTGTTGGGTATCAGCACCCAATTGGCAAACAAGACGAAGAGAAAATGGGTGGCGACAGTGAGAAAAGCCCTTTGGATGGTTGTTTTGGTAGCGATAAACCTTGGGACCGTCAGATCTGGGCAAAGCCTCATCGGATAGCTCGATGACGAGGGTGAAGGGAGGGCAACGACAATGTCAACTAACAAGGATCCAGCACTGGTGGGATTCCTCCCTCGCAAGCGATACGGATCCAACACCGACGGGCCCTCTGCCCCCTTGCGAGCCTTACCACCACGATTATTAACCTTGGTTCCTCAACATTGATTCGGTTGATGTGGTGAGTGGGATTTACGTGGGTCTCTTCCTCCTTCTCTCCCCACTCCCTTTTACTTATTTCTCCTACTAGTAATCTGCCCGTGCTAACGCTACGGCTGTTTTTGATAATACAAATCAAAATATATGTCTAAAAAAACAAATATCCATATTCTTATGCGAATGCTAAAGGATCAACACATATTTAGCCTTAAAACAATAATTCCATATTCTCAAATTTATAGTATTTTATGAACTTGTTGAAATATAAAATTATGGTCAAACGCACGCCACCAATACAAAATAATTCAAAAATCATATAACTTTTAATTTTTTATAAGGGAGTAGTAAATTTAGATGGACTAATTAATTGCATCTTATGCATATGCACAAACGGTAAATTATTTGAATGTTTGCACAAAAGGTATATGCACCAATATTATAACATTATAACATGAACTGTCTCATTTCTTCTCCAAAAGGGAATATCTGGCAATTCTTTATCCACAATTTGCATACAAATACATCTGATCAATCTTAAATCTCTCCATAAATTTACTATCAGAACTTCCGCATGTCTAAATGTACCCGACCCCGCATAACCCATTAACACATTTTCCCGGAGGATATGGACAACTCCAACAGCTGATCAGCCAAGTGCACCTAGATGACACGTATATTGATATCTTATGATTGTTGCGGCAACATATTTCATATAACACAATAAATTTCAAAGCATCTTTGAAACCTCATTTAACACGCTGAACTTTTAAAATAAAAAATATAACCAATACTTAACAGTACACTATTATTGACGTGTTCATAGTTCATACATTCCATTTGTAAAATAAATTTAAAAGCATCTTACAACACAAACATGCATTTCTTCACTGCACAAAATATTTTAATGAGAAAACTGCACCAGAAGGTTAGCAACGTACCATGACAAAGCAAAAAAAATCATATCATATATTCATTATTGGACCATTTGCTCAGGTGAACAGTTTGGTGCCATACAAACTCCTGGGAACATGAAAAAGCTTGGCGCCATATAATTAACGCGTTATAACTTTTTGCAGAGAACAGAAGAGAACTCAAACAAGCCTCATGATGCCTATTCCTCTTTTTTCCAGTGATGCAGTTCCTAATTGTTCAGTTGAACTACCATCCATGTATAAGAGTACTGATGGCCTCAGCAAACAATCGGAGAATGATCGCAAAATCAAGAAGATAGTACAATTGGTCACTGCACAAATGCTATTTGCACCAAAACAGAGTACTAAAAAGAACCAGTCGTATATTCAGTCCAACTTTTGTGTTACCAAAAATGAAATATATGTTTCATACAGGACAGATTTGGCACTATTATATCTGATATGAACCAAAATAAAATGCAATCTCTACATACAAAAGAATATGCAATTGATGGTAGTTGATGTCAAAACGGGGAAAGTTTTCGTCATATCGCTGATGCAGTCCCATTTGGCTTGCTCGATCTGGTTTCAGAAAGCCTCTTTTTCATGATTAAACAAACAATAACAGCTAGCACTTGTAGCTTGCTCACTGCAGAGCATAAAGAATAGTTAGGCAATATGATACATCATATCATAAACATGAACATATCTATGCCACATATGAGACGAAACACCAATGAAATACCAATGTATATTCATGTCTCATTATAAATATAATGAAAAAAATGCACAACATCTCATTACAAATTTGGATAAAGAATTACGAAATAACAGATGATAGTTAACCTGCTGCTTTATCGACATAGGTAAAAACCAAATTTAATCCCTCCAGAAATTTCGCCGAAGTATGATATCTCTGTTCAGCCTGCGAATTGGCACATAGCTCTTGCCACAGTCCATGAGCTGAAGAAGTGGCAACTTTGAAGTAGCCACCTAAACCCCACCTATAAGTCAGAAGAGCAAGTGTTATTGTCTTCTTTATTCTTTTTAAATCAATACAACAAAGAACAAGGTTATGAGGTGAAATCTGGGCACAGGGCAAGGAGAAGCCAGCTTAGAGTCCTTGCAGATTATCCTGCATCCATTACCAGTAATGCTAGATCTGGAGTTCAAGCAAAGTAAATTTAGATACCGTTCAGGAACTTAGTGACTGAAAACATCTCTGCCATCTGATTTGAAGCATTTAGAATCAAGCAAATCCAAGCATGCATAAGAACGGACAATAGATGCAACAACTGCATCTGTTGTTTTTGAACCAAGAATCAAGCATAGCATGCATAGGCCCCTAATAAAACAAGAAAAAAGATGGATAAAGGATTTAACTCAAAAGGAATATAATTTTAACAAGACTCCCCCTAACATAATTCGTGAAAAATGAGCAGCATATAAAGTACCTGATATTAGAACTCTCTAGGGTAAACACAACTTCATTGCATTAGTGGGTTGAGGATATGTGCAAGCTTCTCAAATTTGAGCAGGACGAACCAGACTATCCTTCAGACTAATCAAATTGGTTGAATCATTACTTAGTTGGGTAAATCTCAGTGAGTTCATTCATTAGGACTCAAATTTGAGCAGGACAAACCAGACTATCCTTCAGACTAATCAGATTGGTTGAATCATTACTTAGTTGGGTAGATCTCAGTGAGTTCATTCATTAGGACAGTTTATGACCTGCAAGAAGTTAATATCTCAATGAACTTGCAATGGTAATTCAATTAAACTGAAAAAAAATTGTAGTAGCAGGTTGTGTTCCTGATTTTGTTAGGGAAGAATGATCTCATAGCCAAAGAGTTCAAAGGATTGAAGAGCTCATATTAAGAAAACTGAGATTGCCGCTGCCATCCATCTAATTTGAGAACTGATGGAGATCGCTTATCTGAGACAAACCTATTTAGCTCATCCCTGTGTTGACAAACATGTCACTGAAGTCAATTAAGAGATCACTCAAGGCTTAAAATGCAGATTGAACAAGTATATCTGTAAAACTGGGTTTCTTGAGTATAGCTTACAGAGGAGAGGTCCACACTACATAGATTCATAAATCAAGACATTCCATAGAAATATACTTAACAAAGGTATCCATCCGCCTCGGTAATTTCATACAAATAGCTTTTGTAATTATGCTTATTCAATGTACTAACAAAACGAGATAGTTAATTTTCAGACACTTCATGAATTAAAACTGCACATTTATATAGGGAGTAGGGACTTCAAGGAATTAACAAGAGAGGAGATCAGTGACCACCTGGATACATTCATGAGTACAGATTTGGTGGGAAGGTTTCAACGATGTAATCCATTGCAGTAGGCTGAGTGGAGATAAGTGCAGGCATACATCATGACAGATTGAAATAAACAGTATCGATCTATGAGGTGTAAAGTATTTTGTAGGAAAGTGATTAGGGAGAGAATAGTTACCTGATTTAGAGGGATGCTGTCATGGCTTTAATTCATGCTATTAGGTCCAATTCGGCAGTCAGTCAGGATTTTCTTTTTCATGATTCTTAAACAATGGAGCCAGAACAGATCCTCCTTATGTGAAATATGCAGGTGGTAATGGAGGAAGAGGTGGTGATGTCATTCTTGAGTGTTCAAGGTCAGTCTGGGATTTCAGTGGTTTGCAACATCACATGGTATATGTTTAAAACCATCATAGAGTCCGTTTCGTCCAGAGATGCATATACTTTTTCTGCACTTACTGGTTTCCTGCTGTTTGAAAACATCATATTGTGCTAGATTTAGGAGTTTGTTCCTAAAAACACTGTGCCCTTGCTGAGAATCTGAACTTGTTGAACTAAAAGGGGCTAACCCTACCCAATCATGAACCTTAAGATTTTTTTTAAAAAAACAAATCATCACGAAAGAATAGGAAGGATCCTGATATATGCCTGCATATACATTTGCGTATAAAAAGACACAATGAGGTTCAGTTACAATAAAAGGCTGACCAAGATTATCTATCCACCCTGACAATTTTGTTTTGGCTAGTTTCAGAGCCTAAATATTTCGTTGTTATTATGGAGTAGTTTCATATGATAAGGAGCAATTCTGCTGAGTTATATGTTTGGAGAAAATTCATGCTTAGTTGCTTACCTGACTTGATGCCTGTAAGAAAGCTCATGCTTAGTTGCTTACCTGACTTGATGCCTGTAAGAAAGCAAGCCGAGGAGCCAGTGGAGTTTCAAAGAATCAGATCGGAGGCGGTGAAACCGGCGAGAAGGGCGACGAGCGGCGGAGTGGCGCGCGACGGCGGACTGGCAGCGTTAGATTTTGGACAGCGATGGAGGCGGCGTGAGGAGCGAGAGGTGGAGGGGGCGGGGCGTGGGTTGGAGGCACGGTGGAGCGAGAGGTGGGGGAGCGATGGCCCGCGATGCGGTGCCGGGGGAGGGGAGCGGAGGAATTTCGCGATCGGAACAGGAAGGAAAGTGCGCGTGATTCGGGGGCGCTGCTGGGTGAGGGAAGGCGATGGGTACGCGGGAGACGTTAGATTGAGATGAGATAATCTGGACCGTTGAGTGAGAAATGAAAGAATGAGTGATGAGTGATGAGTGGAGCCATTTATTTAGATTTCGATTCCGGCACGAATTTCAGATTCGTTGATATATGTAGGGACCCAAAGTGAACTTACTCCACTGTTCGATCGTCTAGGGGAAGCCCATAAAAGCCTGCGACAGTGCTATTCCTTGGGCCGGTGCGGGAGCGCGAGTGTCATCCCCTCGGAGAATAAGTTCACTTTGGGTCCCTCTATTTGTCGCCCAGTCCGATTTTCATCCCTTGACCGCAAAACCGGATACGACTCGTCCCCCAACTTACGAAAACCGGGCAAACGAGGTCCCTCGGCGGTTTTGATAGCGGTTTTGGCTGACGTGGCGCATACGTGGCTAATTTGACTCAGTCTTCATCTAACGTGGCACTGACGTGGTGCTTATGTGGCAATTCGATCCAGAAAAATAATAAAGCCCATGGAACCCACATGTCATTTTCACACATAAAATAATAATAATAAATAGTGGGACCCACGTGGGCCCCACATGTCATACTCACCCCCTCATCTTCTTCCTCCCTCTCCATCTCCCCTCTCTCCATCTCTCTCCTCTCCTCTCTCCAGCCTCCAGGCGCCACGGCTCACGGGTTCACAGGGAGGTCTAGCGGTGGCGGCCGGCGACGCAACAGTCGCCGGCGGCGGTGAGCTCCACCTCTCGGCGCAGCTGTACAGCCGCGCGCGTGGCTGTCTGACGGCGTGGGTGGCACGGATGGATTCATGGATCTAATCCCGCGCCAGCACGTAGCCCCCCGCGACACGACGGCGAGACTGCGACGGCCGGCGACGTCGCTCTCACGCCGGCGAGACAGAGTACATCTTCAACTGCCAGCATTAATTTGCATCGAGAGAGAAAATTAGCAGTAGCATCAAATAATATCATTTCAGTTTCGTCGCAATTAAGCTAGCTAGCCATGTGAGGAGTCAGTTCGATGCCTCGATCGATCGTCGGTGTCGAAGAGGGGTCAAGAACTCAAGATTAGGCGATCGATTCCATCTGACTCATCGGCTGAATCATACGAGCTACCGTCAATTGAGTACTCGTACTAACGTACGCGTGTAAATGCTACTGACTGCATGAGAGAAACTGTAGAAGTCCTGTGCTTACACAATGTACTACGGCCTAGCCATGATCTAGATGATGCAGCACAAGACCTTTTAATTAATTAGTCGATCGACAAGCGATCCATGCATGCATGGGAGTAATTTACAGGCTTCGAGTTCATACACTGTTGCATTGCGGCTTGCGAAAAACACAATGCTACACTAAGAATTAATGATGGCCATCCGCAACTAAGTGATGATCTGTGAGCAGTTAGCAATTACCAGTTACTGACGAGAGGTGAGTAGGTAAAGGCATTATTAGCAAGAACTGCATCGGAACAAAGTTCATTCCAGTGGTCAAAACTCAAAACCCCAGTGAGCTGAGGCGTGAGAGCGACGTCGCCGGCCGTCGCCGACTCGCCGTCGCGTCGTTGGGGGGGGGGTTACGTGCTGGCGCGGGATTAGATTCATGAATCCATCCGTGCCGCCCACGCCGTCAGACAGCCACGCGCGTGCGAGGTCAGAAACACGCGCGGCTGCACGGCTGCGCCGAGGGGTGGAGCTCGCCGCCGGCTGCGGCTGTCGCGTCACCGGCCGCCACCGCCGGACCTCCCCGTGACCTAGTGAGCCGTGGCACCTGGAGGCTGGAGAGAGGAGGGGAGAGAGATGGAGAGAGGGGAGATGGAAAGGGAGGAGGAAGAAGATGAGGGGGTGAGTATGACATATGGGGCCCACGTGGGTCCCACTATTTTTTATTATTTTATGTGTGGAAATAACATGTGGGTCCCACGTGCTTTATTATTTTTCCTAATCGAATTGCCACGAATTGCCACGTCAGTGCCACGTCAGATGAATACCGAGTCAAATTAGTCACGTAGGCACCACGTCAGCCAAAACCACTATCAAAACCGCCGAGGGATCTCGTTTACCCGGTTATCGTAAGTTGGGGATGGGTCGTATCTGGTTTTGCGGTCAAGGGACGAAAATCGGACTAGCCGACAAATAGAGGGACCCAAGTGAACTTATTCCTCCCCTCGGCCTCGACTCCAGGATCCTAGACGAGTTCGCCCGCCGACGCCTCGCCTGCGTCGCTTCGATCTCTATCCCACGAGCGGAGCAGCGCTGCCGGCGCTGCTGCTTCCGCCGCATCCTCGCTCGCTGCCACTGGTGAGCATCCATCCACTCTTTCTCATCTCTCTCTCCACCACACTTTTTCTCGATTGCGCTAGCCCTAGCTTCTCTTCTGGATCTCGAAGCTGCTTTTCTCTTTGCCTTTTGTCTTAACCCTAGTATCAATAACCAGTTTAGTTTGTTCCCAATAAAATTTAGGTTCAACTGTACCCCAGGCGACCACGTTAGGTCCACCGTGCTGAAATGTGAAATCAACGAGTTCAAGGATTTACAATTAGCCGGCAAAGTATAGTTATTTGGTTGGTCACATTTATTTATTGAGCGAGACAGTTTCTTGGAGATTAGTCATGTTGATGTAAGCGAGCATTTCTATGGTATGGAACCACAATTCTGAATGTCATTAGATATTTTTGCAATATTATTCGTTAGTGTTAAACTGTTTATGTTTCGTATGACTTTACTCCAATTCAGGGCGGAGGGCTTGGTAGGGCTAGGTGTGGCGCTCGCTATACCTCGTTCCTCCCGCCTACAACCCCCCTCCCCCCTCCGGCAGAGAGCAGGACACCGCGCTGACGAGAGAGCGTGCGGGCGCGAGAGAAACGACGGCGCGCGAGCCGCAGCCGCGAGAGAAGTTGAGGCCGCGCGAGAGGAGCGAAGCATGGAAGCAGGCCAAGCTATTGGGCCCATTGGGCTTGTTTTTTTTGTGTAAATGGGGCTTTTGACTAGGAAACCCTAGACCCAAATTTCCCCTTTCTCCCGTTCTCCAATCCCCAATCTTGCGATTCCATCCAGCCGGCCGAGTGGGAGCGGCGGCGCTGCCTGTGGTCTGTGGAGCTGGTGGTGGGCCTGGCGACGTTCCGTGCCGTGCGCGAGGAGGGGCGCGGCAGGGCGGAATCCCTGGCGTAGAGCGGCGAACGCGCGGGTCGGCGGGGCAGCAGCGCGGCGGCGCGACGCGGGGGCAGCAGCACGGCGCAGCAACCGGCACTGGCTAAATAGCGCCGGGAGCAAGGCAGAGACAGCCACCAACAGGGACTGAAGGCAGGCAGAGGCAGGCAACAAGCTATAGAGGAGAGGAAGAGGAGATTAGGAATGTTGTGGTATTTTTGAGTTTCTCTTCTATTTACCCTTTTGGCAACTGGATGATGAATTGTGATCTTATGACTAGTGCTTGTTGCTATGTTTAATGTAGACATAATGGGATAATGTTGCTTTTTTTTCCCTTCTTGTTCTGTTCTAATTCTCACGCTAGTTCATGTGCCACACCTATTTTTTTTTTCGGTCGTCCAATTATTTCAGTGTACTTTTGATAAATTTAAGCCTTGTTTGTATTTGTCTGCATGAAGACATGTAGAATTTGCTCTTGGTATCTGTTTGGGCTCTGGTTGTGCCACTACTTGATGCTCTTAGGTTCTGTCCATCTTCACCTCTCCTATTCCATATCATCAACTTGTTCTTTTGCTAGTAGAATCACTAATTCAGTATTGTTAGTATCTTCTATGGGCAATATATGTACTGTCAGAAGAAATAAATCCTTTAGGATGAAATGTCTGAATAGATTCAATGCAGAAAGTTTATGTTGTTATGCTTCAACTGTTATTCATTATTATTTAATTTAATTCAGGAATTTTGTTGAATAATGGATGCTAGGTCTGAAGCAAATTACGTGATCTGTGGTGATAACATGCTCTCGATCTGAGACAGCATTCAAATAAGCATCGTCGAAGGTGTCCTACTGGGTTACACAAACTTCTTTCAGAAGCGAGAAGAAGATGGCCACCAAACCCCAGCCATAGATTCCCATTTCCAAGCCTGCCTCACTCCACCAGCATGATGAAACATCACCTACGTCGATGTGGTGCTGCTGCTTTCACCATGGTCCGATGTTTCTGCCACTTTCCGCATGCTGTATCCACGTCACCTCCAATTGGATGGAAGTGCCCTTCTCCTCGGCTATACTCCACCAATGGTGAGCCAATGTCTGCTGTCACATCTTCTTGCTCCATCTCTGCTTACTCCACTCTTTCTCTGCTTTCTGGTTCATCTATGATAATATGACTGTGCTGCTGCAAAGAAGAAATATTTGATTCAAGTGTGCTCCTTGTTTGCCCCTCTTTTCGCATCAGAGATGAACCAGCAGCTTCCTGCGAACCTGGTGGGGGTCATGGAGCAGAGAATGAAATTGATCGAGCAGAGGAGTGCGTACCTCCAGGAGCAAATTAACCAGGTCATCTTTGGATGGGCAACCTCTGTTTCTAGCACTGTTCAGTTCTTGTTATCATGTGGCCATGTAGAGCTTTCAAATTTTAGGTTGGAAGTAAAAATAATCTTGATTTGAGTTTGACGTTAATGAAGACAGCCAGATGCCTCGCCTGAAGAATACTCAAGGGCCAACAAGGAGCTCCACAAATTGGAGAGTACTATGGATATGATCGAGGAGCTGCGGTCCAAACAGGAGGTAATGATCACATGAATTTGTGTAATGTTCACATCCCATGGTATGGTAGACTGGGAGTAGGCCAAACTATTTGAGTATTTGCAGGAAATTGAGGGTTTGAAATCCTTGATGACAAACTCTGTTGAAGAGAAGGACTTCCGCGAGATGGCAGCTCAGGAGCTCCTTCAGGCTCTGGAGGAGGAGAAACAACTGCAGCACAAGCTGTTTCGATCATTACTTCCAAAAGATGAAGCTGACGAGAGGGATTGCATATTGGAGGTCCGTGCAGGTAAGGCAGAACCTGCTATGTCTGTCCGTATGCATATTTTGTCCTTTTTGGTGTCAATCAATGTATTTGGGCAACTGGTGATTGATGATGATATGCAGGTACTGGAGGAGAAGAGGCGTCTTTGTTTGCAATGGACATATTTAAAATGTAGGATTTGCCCCTTCACTGGTGTTACTCCACAGCATTTACCTGTGCTGCTCAATCTGTTACTAATAAATTTGAGTCTTCTATATTATAGGTACGAGAAGTACTCCCAAAAGAATGGTTGGAAATTCGATGCTATTGATATCATGGAGTCTGCATTAAAAGGATACAAGGTATAGTCTTTGTTGGCAATACCAAAGATCTTGAGTGAATATATACACAGCTTTTATTGTTGCAGCAATAAAAATGTTACACCGTCTAGTTTTGGAAGATCTTCCCTAAGTGTCAACATGCACTTGACATTATTATTATTTCAAATTTAATGCAGGAAGCTAGTGGGACTATATCAGGTCCTGGGGCATACGGGAAACTCAAGTTTGAGAGTGGCATCCATAGAGTTCAGGTATGGTGAATTGATGATGAGTTACCCTATTTATATTCATCACATTTAGCCACTTGCCTTTTAATCTGACTTGATCCTGCCGATGGCAGCGAGTACCAGTAACGGAGAAATCTGGACGGGTGCACACTAGTGCTGTATCTGTTGCTATTCTTCCTCAAGCTGATGAGGTTGTAATTGGATATAGCATTTTGATCGGTCTTGTTTTGTTTGTTCCAAAAGTTTTTATCATCTGTGCAATTTATGGCATGGTTAGTAAAAGTTGCTTCTTCGAGAGCAGGTTGATGTACAATTGCGCAATGAAGACTTGAGAATCGATACCTACAGATCAGGTGGTTCTGGAGGTCAGTCTGTCAATACGACTGATAGCGCTGTTAGAATAACCCATGTTCCAACCGGAACAGTTGTTGCGATACAGGATGAGAGGTCTCAGCATCAGGTTGCCATACACACACAATCATTCCTTTGCTGTAGTTTTCTCCTTTAAATCAGGAAACAAGTAGTGCTTAGGTCCTGTTTGTTTCAGCTTAAGATTATTGTAATCTAGATTATTGAGGCACATTAAGCTGGATTATAATAAGCCGACATAGAATAAGTTGTTAGCTGTATGTTTCTCTGGATTATTAGATGTTTGTTAGTTGTTAGCCACCCAATAATAAAAAAAACACCTTTAGAGTGGATTACCAGATTGTAGTAATCTGGCTTATAGATTGTAATAATCTATCGTAATAAGCTATCTCTTTGTTTCAACTTACTCCTAATAATCCAGATTATAATAATCCTAAGCTGAATCAAACAGGGCCTTTGATACCTCATTTTCGTATTTCTGTTCCTATGTTATGCCCTTCATTTATATATTTTTAGTCTCATATTTATTTTCTGATTCTTTAATAGTTTTATTGATCTTAGCATTATCTTAACACTTATTTGTTGTCTTCACTTTTGATGCACCAAGTGGAAATCAATCATATCCATTTGTAGAATTGTTCATTTATCTACTTATTATATTAATGTTATATGCAACTCTTTTTAGAATAAGGCCAAAGCCCTCAAAGTTCTCCGAGCAAGACTATATGAAATTGAAAGGCATCGACTCCATATGGACCGGTCAAAGCTTCGATCAGAGCAGGTACCTCACTATCTAATTGCTCATCACAAATATTAATCCCTGAGTATGGGATTGTCCAATTCTGACTTGCTAGTAGATTGGAAGCGGTGACAGGTCCGAACGTATCCGAACATACAACTTTCCACAAGGGCGTGTTACCGATCATCGTGTTGGGATCACGCACCACTCCATAGAAGATGTTATGGAGGGGGAGAGCTTGGATATCTTCATTGATGCGCTCCTCCTGCGTTATGAAATGGACGCAATCGCTTCATTTGCTTCTTAAGTCATACTGGTTTTGTGGTTTCTTTTAGCATCAACTACATCGGGACCAAACAGAGAAGGAACCATGTATACATCGCACTGAACCGGCAGAGACAACGTCAAGAATCTTGAGTTCTCAAGTTTTCCTTATTCTCAATGTATAAGCATGTAGCTTAGGATCATAGCTGTATCGCCCATTATTCTGAAAGCAGTAGCAGCCAAACAGTTTTTCTTCATATTTTTTATCGCGCCGCAAGTTATTTGTGGGCAACTGAATCACGAGTGGCTGCCACATCGGTGTTCAGTCAAATGGGATTACAATTTTGACAGAGATAAATGGGATTACAAATTTGACAGAGAACTATGTTAACTACAGTCTACATCCTTATGTTAACTATATATAGTCTACATCATCCAGGTAAAGATGGTTTGGTTAAGGAATTCCTTACGACGGGTGCTGTGAAAGCTAATACATGTTTATATTTGTCTTGGAGACCTATAAATTGCAGCAACGAAAGGAAAGGATAAACGAGTGCCACCATTTGATAATTGATCAATATATAGACATGTTTTGTATTTGAATGGTATAAACGCAATTATTCTGAGATGGAGGTAGTAGTTTACAGCTGTATTTATGAAACAGAAACAATTTGGTGCATATCAAATCCGAGACTGCTTTCTAAATTTTCCCTTCGTTCAAAACAGTGGGAAAATCCATTAGTTATCTTAGGGTGCGTTTAGTTCAAGTCAAAATTGGAAGTTTGGTTGAAATTGGAACAATGTGATAGAAAAGTTGAAAGTTTGTGTGTGTAGGAAAGTTTTGATGTGATGGAAAAGTTAGAGGTTTGAAGAAAAAGTTAGGAACTAAACCAGGTTAGAAGTTTGTGTGTGTAAGAAAGTTTTGATGTGATGGAAAAGTTGGAGGTTTGAAGAAAAAGTTAGGAACTAATCCAGGTCTTAGAAGACTGGAAGGTCTGATGTCAATATGGACTATGCATCCGTGTTCTGGCCTTCTGGGTAACCAATTATGTACAGTGAAGAAAAGACATGGTTAAATTTTTTTTTCCAACCTCGTCGGCCTCAGGATGAACTTAACTCACCCACAACCATACCAGACGAGAGAAAAATGGAAGAACAGACTGACAAGCGGACAGATCAAGCTTCAATTCGAATAGGTTTGTAAAGAAAGAAAAATTGTGACATGTATTCTCAATCTAGTTCACTTGTGAAGGATAAAAACTAAAGCTATAAGTGAGACCAAATTTAGTTGCACAATATTCATCCAATGGCAACATATTCTGTCACTATAAATAAGTAATTAACGAACATGATACATGATACAAACATGCTACAATTGATGAAAGGATCAACGTCTAACATATCAACACTAGGAATTTAAGGTGAAGAGGAGGCTCCAAATTGGGGTTTCAATTACATTGCAAGCCTCTGTACACCTGAACTTGTGCTTCTGGGAATAGAATCACTTGCTACACAAGAAGCATAATGGCATGGAAGAAGAAGAAGAAAAAAAACAGAATAGACATGCCAAATCTAAGATTGCAAGGTCCCAAACAGTGGGGCATGATCATCTTTCAATGATCTGTCAGCTGAACCTGCAAGAACTGCATACCATTCACTGTGAAGAACAATTAGCTCCCCATTTTGATGCTGTTCAATGTTGGCTCACCTTGAACCTCCTGTTTCACTGGCTTCTTGTCCTCCCTGGATGATGGTATTGACAATGGCATTGAGCTGGCTGCAGCAGCTGCAGCCGCGGCGAATGCCAGCGCCGGCTGCTGCATGGCATTGAACTTGAGCAGCTTGTCTCTGTTTGCCTCGCTGCTCTTCGGAATCTTCTTCTTGGGCGGCGGTGCGGCAGCGGGCTTCTTGGCTTCTCTGGCCTCCGCCTCAAGCGCGCGGAAGGCCGCGTCAAGCATCTCGCGGGAGCGCTTCCGCGCCACGGCCGCTTCCCGGACGCAGCGCTCCGCATCCTCTCGGGCCGCGGCGGCGGCGCGAGCGACTGAATCGTGGGCCAGCCGCGCGGCGACGAGGAGGACTCGCGCGGCGCGCTCGTCCAGCGCGCGCCGGCCGCCCCCCGCGGGCGTGTAGGAGAAGGGCTTGCCCTCGGCGGCGGCGGCGCACGAGGGGCAGACGAAGGAGGCAGAGTCTGGGACACAGGAGTGGTGCGCGACGAAGAGGCCGCAGCTGGAGCAAGCGGCGGTAGGTCCCGGCGGGGAGAGGATGGGATCGAGGCGGGGCTCCTGGACGGCGGTGGCGGCGGAGGCGGAGGCGGAGGCGGAGGCGGGAGGGAAGAGGAGGAGGCAGGCGGAGCAGAAGGCGGCGGGGTGATAGAGCAGGACACAGGAGGAGCAGAGGCGGCAGAAGACGCCGTCGTGGCGGACGTGGTGGAGGGGCCAGGCGTCGCGGCCGGATGCGCACCGGTCGCCGCCGCAGCCACGAGGGATGGAGCCGGCGGAGGGCGACGGGCGGAAGGGAGGCGTCATCGCCGCCGTGGCGGCTTCGATGCGAGAGGAGAGAGGACGGGGAGGATTAGGGTTTCTCTGGGGAAACGCTGCCACCAAACGGCTCAAAGGAGGAATTTTCCCATTTTCTCCTCTTCGAAATGGTACAAGGCGGAAATGGCGAAACTGCGTAACACCCATGAAATTTCGATTCTAAACATGATAAAAAATCGGAATAATCCAATTCTAAAATTCAAAATTGGAAATTTAAATAATATTTACTACCTCTTAGACATAGTTGTTAACAAAGTAAGTATAATTAAATAAGAAAAATGTTGTGATTGGTTGAGAAGTGGATGTAGGTGGGAAAAGTGAATGGTGGAGGGTTATAATTAGATTGAAAAAGAATATTGGTGGAAAAGTTGTTATATATTAGAATAAATTCTGAGTGCAAGAAGTTATTATATTTTGGAATATAACAAAATAAAATCAAATATTAATTATTTTCTAAAAACAATTATTATGGATTAATTATTTAAGAAAAATATTTTGCAAATAAAAAAATATTTATTGAGAATTTCTATACGGTTGCCTGCAAATTTTTTTTGTTTTTATCTGCTGAATTTGTGGATGTCTGATCCTCCTGCAAGAATCTTTTTGCACTATATCTCCTTGTTGTGTGGAAGCAAAAGTACGTAGGGGCCCATGGTTGTTGATGAAGACACAGCTAGCTCTGATACCAACTGATGAGGATGTTGCGTCTCGATCTTCCGATAGGTATTGATAACTCTTGATTTGGTGGAAACTTGACACATAAGATCCAGCTTCTGATCAACATGACCTGAACCATGCAATCACAGCACCACGTCTTCTCTAGTTATCAATCGTGCACTGCCCGGTTGACCTCACCGAGAAGGCTAATCCCTGCATGCGAATTGAAGAACACAAGTAAGAACAAGATAGATTGCAACATAATTTGCATATGAATGATTAAGCACTCGAATTTGGAGTTCCACAAACCGATCTAGTGGTGAAACGTCAATGTCAGAAATAATCTAAACAAAACCCAACTCTAAACGATGACGTCTACTGAATAAATATGATTAGGGATGTCCTAGGGTTGCCCTATGGTGCACACCCCCTTAGACTAAGCCCACGACACAATGACAAGGCTCAAAACCCTAATCAGATTCGGGCTAGATAATGTACGTGGCTTGTTTTGCAGATTCTCGACAGCTCGGTGGGAACTGTGACGTGGGACCAAAACCATCTGAAAGTAGACTACATAGGATTTCCAACAAGTACTCATGGGCCCTGAAATTTCTTCTAGATCAGTAGCTAGGTCCGTTTGAAGTTGATGCTGTCAAGAGACCCGAATCTGAATCCAAAATGTGTAGAACTTTATCTCTTATCTTCGATGGACCAAACGTGACATGGCTAGGTAGAAGTTAACTTGGAGAATGTCTTGATTTAGTCCCCAATCAACTTCTTTGATCATCCATGCATTCTTTATGCTCGGTCTCCTTTTCTTCATCCACGCAACTAGCTCTGCAAACGAGAAGAAGATACCAAACTCATGGTGTAGTAATGTTTGCTCAAATATATAGTAAGTAAATCTAATATAGAACATATGCACCTTTGGTTGATAAATACATAAGTTAGTCATGGTCATATCCGAACTAGTTGTGTTCTCATCACTCTTGTACTTTATTAGGAAAGCATAGAGATTGTGATGTCTTTCACTAGAGATTTTTTAAACACTTCATATGTGATATTGTTTTTCCTTCTTCATTTGTTGTTGTTGAAACACATTTGGATGATCCATTGAACTCGTCTTCTCATGTCTAGAAAATACATCTCTCTGAGCTATTGTTTATATGCACAGATGATTTTCTTTTGCTGCTAAGTTGGACTATTGAAGTGTTGATTAATTTCTGGCTTTCTTGCTACTGCCTTGGCTCGCGAGCTAAACGAGCTAGCTCGAGCTTGCCAACGAGCCGAGCCGAGCTAGCTCGTTATACTAACGAGCTTGACCAAGCTGAGCCGAGTCGAGCCGAGCCGAGCTAGCTCGGTTTCTACCCCTAGGAACACCACAACAAAATTAATTCAAATGACACATTAGGCCTGACAACAAAAGAAAAACAACAACGAACTAGGGGGCCTACAACTCCATCTTCACAGGCGCCCACCTGGATATAAGCCAACACTCCATCTAAGACTTTTTCTTCAAAAAGCTTCACTGACAAGAGGGGGAAAGATTATTGAGCAAGAATGAGTACAACCGCCGTACTCAGCAAGCCATACCAAAAATGAATTATAATGCAAAGGGAAACAAGGAGTTGGCATAATAGGGTTTGTTGGTATTTCTTAACGACATTACTAGAAAAATAATTCCCAGCAATGGCGCAGAAATACTCCTGGTATATTATGGTTACAGAGTTCATCCGCAAGCGCATAGATATACCATTGTAGCATTTCACCCGAGAGTATTCCAAGGGTATTGTATTTATTTAATCCAGTGGGAAGATCATGGTAGAGAGAACGTGACTAATAATTTATACATTACATGTGATAATCATAGTCTAAGCAGGGGTTAAGATAATCCAAGAGTAGAGTGACACACAAGCAGTATGCTACTCATTCTCATACTAAAATATCTAAGCTAAGTGGAAAGAAAAGAGAAAGAGAATCTATTCCTATACTTCTAATATACATAGTATACATACATTCTAGTCATCTGATATACTAGCTAATACCCTCTATTCGATGCCCTCCTGGTACTTCGAGAAGCCACCCTTGACTGCCGAGTTCCTTACGACAGCCCGTCATGACCATACAACCGGGGCTAAATACAAAGGAATACCCTCCCCAGGAAATTAATTTAGGACTATATACACGCGTGGAGGAATACCCGTACTGAGCTGTCACCATCAGCGGCCCAGCTCTCATCCGCATCATATAACCCCAAATAATAATATCCCGTAATCTAGATAGCACGTCTAAACTACCAGATACTACTCTAATATCATCGTCATGACATAGAGTAATTGCATATGCAAACATTATACCCGCGCCAAAGCATCTCCCAGATAAGCTAGCAGCATATTCAGTATAACATGAACATAATGTAAAGTTAGCATTCATATACTCGAAAAGTATTTCAATACCATAAATGTATAAATAAGAGTATTCTAAATAAAGTACAAAGCTTACAAAAGAGAAGAGAAGAGCTACTAGAGCCATACCAAACTCTTCCGAAGGCTTCCGGACTCTGATTTCTACTCTATTCCTATTCCACTAGCTAGATAACACTAAACTAAACTTGAGAGAATATGAGAGAGCTCTTGCTTGAGGTGTGTGAGTGAAGTGAGGATGAGAGCTCCTTTTATAGCCTCATAATGACGGTTGTGACGGTTGGAAAGGTCAGTAATACCCACCAACCGTTATTGGAGAGCCATCTCAGCCGTCCAGGAGAAACCTAGATCAAATGGCGCTGCGGGGGGTTTGGCCGAACCATGGGTCAGCAAAACCTGGCCCAAAAGCGGCAGGTGGCCTCCTCCATTGCTCTCTTCCGTAGACTTGTGGATTTTGGCTCAATTCATCATGTCAATTCTGAGTTCTTGGCCCATTCATACATAAGTCTGATTCTCGACATCGTCCAATTGATTTATCATCTGAGTTGATGTCGATTCTCCTTCACTTTATGGTTATTTTCTGCAAAAGGTTAGTGAACCTAATAACATTGGAATATTATTATTCTAACATGTATATGCATTGCAAGCATAACTAGTTCTCCTCTATTTTGGTAATATTGACGGTCAAAACTGAGCGCTAACGACCGTCAACAGGGTTCATTTTTGCGTAAAGACAAAGTTGAAATATTTTAATGTTTTTAATAGCATAGTTTAAACTTGGTTCTTTTTCTAAGCAGTTGCGAACCCACACATACCTACCTTAAACCAAGGTTATCCACTTGTCCAAAGTGCCATGAATTCCAACCATTCTTAGAAGCAAAACGCTAAATTGCGTACATTGCTAGGCTTGCCCATAACCGAGGGCACGGCTATTCGAATAGTTTTACTCTAATCAGAGGTGTATATTTTTACCCGCAAGACACAATAGTCGATTTCATGTCAGCCATGCATCGTGATACCTGAAAGATATCCGAAAAGTCAAGATCATAACAAGACTATCCACCTAGCTCAACCCAAAATGAAAGGGCCCATTAAGATTTCGCTGCCTGCGGGTCCCCGATAAGGTAAAGGTTGCCGAATCCCACGGGACGAGGCATGCCCCCTTTGCACCAGGTCAAAGTCGGCCTCCCCTGGTCCCAAATTTACCATATTGATGGCCTTTGTTTTGAGATGATCTAGACATATAGCTAGACCTTACCCATTAGACTTGTGGTTGCACTGTTATGCTTCGGAACAAAGGCCCGATGACCAGTCCTTATAGTGACCGAGATGGCTCTATCAAAACCATGCACCTTTGTCTCACCAAATAGGATTATAGAATTTTGAATGAGATTCCATCATGTCCTGCCTCAACTAGCCACCTAGTCATCATTGTTACCCACATTCTAATTTGTGAAAAGGGGCTCTATGTTGGATCATATATAAGCCCATCCTAGACCAACTAATAAGTCCATCATATAGGGCCTATTTGGCACACATCCAGCTCCACCTCTCCTAAAGCTGGAACCCAGCCAAACAGTTTCAACTCGACCTAAAATGGGAGCGGAGCTAGATGGAGCGCTCTCACAAAATGAACTAGAGAGGAAGAGCTGAGTTTAGGCTGCTCCACAACTCTACTCCTGATCCAACTCCAAGAGCTAAATTGAGGAGTTGAAGCTCTACTAAACAAGCCCATAGGGTGCCATACTAATCATTTTATCGTTTTACTAAGGTTGACAAGAGTATGGGTAGCAATTCAACAATATGGCTATATAACAAGGATCATAGAAATATTAACTGTTAAATAAACAATAGTGAGCGTCATATAATTTATAAAAGTGATGCATATACAAGTGAATCAACATAGTTTTTATAATAGTGGGATTCAATATGTTTAAAGAACATAGTATGACTTGCCTTACTCAAAGAAATGGTCTTTTGACATGATATGCATTTCGGGAATTTTTGAAACGACGACAA